ATCTGTTCCTAATAAATGCTTCTATCTTTTATTAAAGGGAACGGGTCCGCCCACCAATTTTTTTTGACCAGTTTGTAAAGCACACTTTAAAACATATACTTCAAGCCTGTTTTTTGGTTTCGGGATCCGTAGTTTTTGAGAAAATTATTTTTTAAGTTCAGCATAGGATTTTTGCCCAAATTTTAAAATTTCCGTAAATATTTCATTTTTCGAAATAGAACCTTGCATCTTTCGTCATTGGAGAGAGCACATTGAGATCTATATAAAAAACAATTTTTGTCATTATCGAGTGAAGTCTGACAGAGAAACTTGTCTTTGACTTGCCCATACCATTTCTAGCGCAAAAAGTATTTTTAAGAAAGCTTCGAACAGCGTTTCGCTTTACGAAAGCATTATGAAAACAACCGAAGAAATTTTTGAAATTCGTAAAACTCGATTTTTAAAGCTCAGAATACTGATTTTTAAAGTTTAAATTTTCATGAAATTTCATTTAAAAATTGAGTTTTACGAATTTCAAAAATTGCTTCTGTTATTTCACGCAGAATTTGATGCTGAACAATTTTTGTTCCCACAGTTTTTGCTTTAATGCTTTCCTGAAGCAAAACTCTGTGCAAGATCCTGGACAATTTTGCGCTCCGAGACTCTGAAAAACCGACCTGAAAATCTTTATTTTTTTCGTTTTTTGATACTTCCATTCGATTTCGTATGTGAAAGTGTCTATGTTCTATGGGTTGAAGATTTTCTGAAAATAATCTTCTGACTCAGAAGAAAAGAAAAAGTACCGTAAAAATGTAAGCACCTTTTTTCCGTAGTGCAGCGTCGCAATATTTTCAATTTTAAAGATTGACCTTAAGAAATTTAGCGACAAAAAAGTATCCCACAGAAAACAACATGATAAACAATTTCTACACTCACAGTTTCACTCTGAAATGCTTTCCCGCAGAAAAACTACAGGCAAGATCTCGAAAAAGCACACTTTTGACCCCAAAAAACTATTCTGAAGGTCAAATCCGAATTTTTTCCAAACCGTGTCGGAGAACGGCGCCAATATTTTCAGATATACATCTCGACGCGCTCTATCGTTTCGTTACAAAACTGGGGTTTCAAACTGAAAAGTAAAAATGTTATTTATATTTTAAAAAATGGGCAGAACAGCCCGGAAATTTTTTCGTCTGAAATGGAATGAAAAAGCTATTGAAACCAGCTCATTGCAGAATGTTCTTTGTCGGCCATCTAATCAAGCAACAAGGTTCGTATTATAAAAAATAAAAAATTAGGAGTAGGAGCAGAGTTTTCTCCGTTATGGTGGGCTTAATATCCGATAAATCGGCTTGTTCACATAACGCGACACTTCACTGATTAAGTATTTTTTTCAAAAGTAAACAAAATCGTTTATGCCAGGTGGTAGAGCATAGTCGAAAGTGTCAGAAAATGTATTTTCTTTTTTTTTCAGGTGAGTTCTGTCAGTCGTTATATGGTGCGCAGTAACTAGAACGAACTATCTTGTTCGTCACATCTTTTGTGCTCTTATTTTCAAATTGATAGTGCAATTCACTATTTTGCTCCAATTAAAAGATAAGAAATAGTATCTAGACTATCGAGTACGGCCTTTCTTTTGACACTAGAACGAAGTCTTTTCGTTTGTCCCTCACTGAGAATAGGTAAAACAATACTTGATAACTTCGCCTGTCAGAGCGTTACAAAAAGAAGTTTTTTCAAAAATTTAAGCAAACGACATTTACAATTTCATTTTAAAAAGTAGTGAACTATAGCCAACTTTCCACGACGATTCTAATGCACTACTTTTTTCCTCAAAAATTTGCATCTGGAGGCAGATAGCGGTAACGCTGTGACAAAAACATGATTGTTGGTTGTTCTTCTGGTTTGTGATTGACTGCTTGTTTCGATAGTACACACAAGGGAGAACGCTCACACAGACTTTAACCTCGCTTTAGGTCTTTTCCTTGCTCAAAATCGTGATAGAGATCTCTAGTAGCTTGCGGCTTGGTTTATTTCTATTTGTTTTCGCTGTAACCAATTCGAAATTCGATAACTGAGCTAGAATCAACAAAACTGGATGAAACTTATGAGAACAGCAGTGAAAATTATGAGGGCAATTTTTTTCAAGCAGCTGTATTTCATTCAATTGATCCTTTGATAGGTGTGTCTCTGATGTTATTCTTGAAAATAGTGCTAATATGACCAAATCATCTGAATGCAATCTCTAGAAAGTTCGATACCACCACACAGATTCACTGCGAAATTACCGACAATCCGTAAGTTTCAGCTAGATAGACCGTTCCAATCAAATCAAACAAACACTTTTAAATATCTTTTTTACCAGACTTATATGCTTGCTAATTCGTAAATAATGTATTAAATATTGTTGGACTGTCACGTAAAAACACATATGGTGTTGGGTGAATTCATCTGTCATCGATTGTCCACGTGGATAAGCTTTTAGTTGCATATTTCCATTTGATTTCGCATTTTTTTTTCGAGCGGAGGGTCTCGTTTTTGAGTTCTCTTAGAAATGAATGTTTTCCAAAGACTAAGAGCGATGTGGAGAAGTTCAAAGACACGTTATCATATGCAGTTTGACAAGCTGATTCAGAAAAAGTCTGTTTCAAAGCTTCAAAATTTAACTAGAAAAAATAACAAGCAAAACATCTGAAGTATAGGTTTTTCCGATTTTCGGATACTTCTCAGTATTTCGCAATTTTCATCGAGAAGGAAAGGTCGTAAAGCAAAATAAATGTGATATTCGGATTCAGCTCGATTCCTTGTATCAGAATATGCCTGTCAAAGTCAAAAAGAAAATAGTGCTTAAACTTTGAATTACGGGCGCCCTACTGCATTCAGTATATCTTATTTCGACAGAACGACATATATAAGTATCTCAGGTGTATTTCGACTTCTACCCACGGAAAATATTTGATAAGAATACCGTGGTATATCATGGTAATTGAAATCGCAAAAGTCAGATCATCTATTGATCACAGTCACGATCACGGTGGGATCGGAACCGAAACGATCTTAGAGATCATCAATACGTGTGACCTGCAACAAGAATTCGATATCATATTAATTGAGATATAACTGATTCGTTACAGTTCCAACTAATGTGTATGTTATCCAAATTCTAGTAGAAATTCGAAGAATTTGAAACTGAAATTTCGATGTTGTCCAAAATTCAGTAGAGAAACTGCGATTTCCAAAATTTCAGCGATGCATGGAAATATTTCTTTGCAGAATTCTTTTTCTTCAACATTCAATTTGTTTTGACGGTTCACACTGGAAAATGACATTCGACTGATAAAACATCATTAACACTGAAAATTGGCTCTTCTTTTTTTAATTGATATCATATCGTAAACACAACACTAAAGGATATCTCTAAAAGTTTTTAAAATGTCAGGAGAGATTGAAGACAATCATTCTAGATTTTATATCCATCATATAATCAGAAAAGGCAGTCAATATTCATTATGTTATATGCTATTCGAAACGACTGCGCTACCTTAGAAGCCACCAGTAGTGCAGCCATCTCTTCATTTCCGGTTGAACTTGATGAAGATGAAAATTTTGAGGATTTCACCTGTGTTGGGTTTGACGATATTGTGAAAACCAGCAAATGTTTGGAAACAAAATTGTGCCTTAGATGTATAATAAATTATTTAAAAATGTATAATGATGCAGATGAATGTGTTGATTATATTACTTCGATTAAAGCCGAAAAAGTTTTTTAATATTATCGGGTTTATTCGGCAACACTCTGGTGCCGTTGATACATGACATTGAACAAGTTTTATTCATCTATATTATTTGTAATGATAAATCTGAATGTATTCCATGGTCTAACTCTTATACAAAAGTTCACGGTTTTGACACACAAGAAAGTTTAATATCAGCAATAGATCAAGATGTATTATCGCATTCAGCCAAGTGCTTCCAGTCATCGCTGACCATATTTGATACGGCTGCAATTGAATAATCAATTAAAGATTTAAATGAAGAAAGTGGTGCATTCATGTGGCATCAGATACTGACAGAAACTATAATTCGGCTACCATATACAACTGATTCAATGAGCGATATGTTGATTCAAGCGAGATTTCAATATAATGGAAATGGTGTTGAAGAAAAGCGAATTGACGAATTCGAAAAAACGTATTATCCTGCCCGAGCTGTTTGGTGGTACACTAGAGATTCATTTGTCTTTCGTTTATTAAACAAAGCATTACGGATTAGTAATATCGACGCTCTGTATAAATTTCGTCGCATTATCACTGACCTTCACAATCAATTGAAGCACTCACATTACGAATTCATTCGTTCGCTGTCATCGGACCAGAAAAGTAATGGGATATTAACAGTGTATCGAGGACAACGGTTATCTGTTGCAGAGCTGGATAAAATAAAAGGAAATATTAATGCATTGATTTCAATGTATACCTTTTATCTACGACAACCAATGGAGATGCCGCTCTAATGTTTGCAGGAAACGGCGAAGATTGTCCTCAGCTGGAATCTATTTTGTTTTAAATAGATATTGATTTGACTATAAAAGACATCTGACAGATTTCAATGATGAAGGTAAAGTTTTATTTTCAATAGGTACGGTCTTTCATGTTCAATCGGTTGTTCAAAGTCGCAGCAACAAAGGTGTACTATGGACTGTGAAATTGATATCAAGCTCTGAAGAAGACCAGCAAATGAAAAGACTCGCTGAGCATCTTCTACAGGACATTTCCGACGTATCATCTTTGAATGGACTAGGATCTTTTTTGATTGAGCCTGGTGAACTTGAGAAAGCGGAACGTTATCTCAAACTGGCACTAACGCAGACTACAAACGACAAAAATAAGGTTAACGCTCTAGTGAATTAAACGCACAGTCACAAGAAGGATTACGTTCGTTCACTGAAATGTAACTATAGAAGTTTTGAGCTGTGTCACATTTTTTTAACACCGAGTCATCCTAATTTTGCTGATCCCTACATGAACATCGGCATGATTCATTTTGAAATCGATAATTTTGATTTGGCACTGGTATATTTTGAAAAAATAATTGAACTGCAGTTCATACAAGATGCAGGCTCGGATTTACAAGATATATTGAAACATAACCCCGATCTTATATCTGATCAAGATCGTGAATCACCATCTGGCCTTAAAGCCGGCATGATCTTTAATCCATATCTACTGGCCGATGGCTACCATAATATCGGAAATGTTTATGTAAAGAAAGACAATTTAGATTTGGCATTGCAATATTATAAAAAAAGCACTTGATATAAGAGAGAAAAAGCTGATTTCGGATCATCCTCGATTTGCCATGTTATATACTGCTATTGCCGAGATTTACAATATAAAAGAGAACTATGATCAAGCTTTGACATATCTCCAACAAAGTCTGACTATTTTCCACAAATGTTTACCGCCAGATCATTTCAGTATTGCAACAACCCATGCTAACATTAGTATTGCTTCTCACTGGGCCGCTTTGTACGAACAAGCAGCACGTCACTATGAAAAGGCATTGGATATTGCTTTGAAATGTAAAGACCCAGCAAATTTGCAGTTTATTGTAACAACACACGACAACGTTGCTCAGACTTATGTTAAAATACGTGACTTTAAGATGGGTTTATATCATGCGGAACAAGCATTACAAATCCGTTTAAAACATCATTCACCGATGAATAATGTCGATTTAGCAATGAATTATTGGCTCTGTGCAACCATTCTTGGTGCGATGATTCAACCAAAAAAATCACTGGTACATTTAGAAAAAGCTAATGCCATAATTCAAGTAACTGACCATCCAAAACTTATCAAGTTACGACCGACTATCGAACAAATAAGACGACTATTAAATAAGCAAATATACTTGAAATAATTTGGTTGAATATCTTAGGTCATCTTAAGGACGCGAAAGTTGTCAACTCCTCAAATGCGCGAAAGAGTTAGGGTGTGAAAAGTGCATCATTATTTCGATTATAATCATCATTTGAGAAGAGCAGCGACAGGATGTGTTCCAATAGATGCGCGGTATTATAAATTCCCCTATCACTTTAGATCACATATTACTCCTCCATCACTCTAACTAAACTGAATATTTTATATTATATATATCTAAACTGAATATGAAATTTACAAAAGATCTAAAGGGAGTCTCCTGGCAGTCCCGTTATAAAGTGAATGTAAATGTATGAAAACAGGCATCGAAATTGTTTTAGACAGATGTGTGTAGATGCAATGTTTCTTTTTATTAAATAGTTATTAAATTAAGAAGGAGAAAATATATAACTGAAGGAGCGGAACAATATTCTTATGTGTGCTCCTAATCGAATAATCAGTAATCAAATAGTTCCTTCGTGTAATTTTGTTCATCAGTTTCAGTTGTTAAGGCTGAGAACGTTGACGTACTAATTGTCTCGTCATCAAAAGTTTTCCATAAGTTTTGGCCCCATTTTTATTTTTTTAATATCTCTGCAATATCAAAAAGTGGAACGTCATTGAATATATATATATTCAAAGAGTAGCATCTAAGTTATCGTTCAACAAAAATTGCACTCAATTTACATTATATTTCAAAAACCAAAAAGCCCATTTCATACATAATCAAGGCTTAATTCGAAAAACGTTTCTCATCAGCTCAAGTAGAATATTTGCTTTTTCAATTAGAAAATATGTCTTTCTACGTTGAACCATTTTTAAGAAAACATACCGCATCCTCGGCAAGTTTGGATAAACAAAAAAGCAGCTTCGGACGAAAATACAGAACAAGCTTCCTGACATATTCTATGACATATACTCGTTACATCTCAATATCGAACTAGAAGGTGAAAGCGGGAAATCTGTCACCTTTCTTGATATGCGCACAAGGAAGCAGCCCTATGTCGTTACTTTCAAATCCGATCATCCTGGACATACTTTTGTAACGTTCTTTTGTAACGCATCTTGATGCTCAATCCACGTTGAATAGAGATAACCTACTATCGATTTTTAATTCTATTCTTCAATATGTTCGTTCTACCAAGCGCTTTGATTAACTTGATGTCTTCTGTATTGTTTGTTCTTACAGAGTGTCACATGGATGAAGGTCTCTTTGTTTACTCAAATTTCTCTATCTCTCTCATCACCATCTCTCATTTTTTTTCTCCATTATCTGCTTTATTCTTGCCTTCGATTCATCCTCTTTTTTTGTGTAATCCTCTTTTCTGTCCTCTTTCCACGTCGGTTTTCCCCTTTTTTCTAAGAATATTAAAGAATAGCATCAAAATCTGAAAAAAACAAGTAGAAATTACCTTGACAGAATACATTATACAGAGATAACTTTTTTGAAGATTCTCTGTGTTATAAACTGAACTTATTTCACTGTAGACAAGTATTGCCCACTAAAAAAGTCCGTGCGTGTGACTATTTTCTGAATAACTTTTGGCAGGAATGAGGCAGAGATCTGTGATTTTCGCCATTCGAAAGATGAGACTTGGAGACAGGCTTTCATGACTAACATGGTTTTCAGAAGAGTTTTCTGAATGGGTTTTCTAGGAGATCGTTGGAAAACTCGGCCGTTTGTACAGATTTTTCGATAGGATTATATTGCCTCTTTTTCATGGACTGATAGCTCGGGATGTTCTCTCCAAGACGGGAGTAAAGTGTGACCTTGCTTTTCCGCGGTTCAGGCGTTGTCTCGGATTTCCTACGGATCTAAGGACTGGCACCCGGTGACTATTGATAGCCTTAGAGACTGATGGACTATGGGTAATCGACCATGCTGAGTTTCGTGGAAATATTTATTTTTAGAAATTTTTTTTGAAATCTACCGAAAAGCCAGTTTTACTGAAATTAGGGTTTTCAATTAGGGGTTTCAATTTTTTATCCATTTCACAGTACCTCAAAGAAAAACTGTGTTTTATACACACACCCCTAACGTTTTGCTCCTATTTGCGACCTGGTAACAATCATATACTTTACTGAACACAAAATTCTTTTTATACGACGAATAACTTCGTATGTACCTGAAGCGCAGGAAATAAAATTATTTTGACATAGATCCTCTTTCACTGTGTTGTTTTGATGATTAAAGAGTGTTAAAAGATAAATATCTATCTCTCTTCCTTCGTAAGTTGGAAATAGTTTTTTTTTCTTCGCAAATTATTATCGAAATAAACAACTATCTACACAAACGTTACGCACTATACGTATCCTGAGTATATAAGCAACTGGCCTCTCAAAAATACTTAACTGTTTCTTCACCCTTTCATCTTAGAAACTTTTGAAAAAATGTACTTTAATTAAGGGGGAAAAAGTGCGACTTCAATAGTTCAGTCTATTCCAAGCTACTCAGTGGGTACTCAAAGTATATATTCAATTACTTCTTAGCTATTTCTGTAGTGCGTTTATCGTACTTTCGCATACACTACTCTGAATTTAGTGCGCTCGGATCTATTGCGTAAAAAACTCAAAATACTTCTTTCTGCTTCAGTTTATTTCAACCTATTTCAAAACCTGAAGTAGAATGAAGTAGTCTGAGATTTCTGTGAAACAGTTGGACTCAGATTAGTGCATGTCAAAGTACGATGAAAGCACTACAGAAATAGCTAAGAAGTAATTGAATTTATACTTTGAGTACCCATGAAGCAGCTTGAGTTAGATCGAAGTACTAGAGTTTCGGTTTTTCCCCCTTGAGTTTGATACCTCCAAAAATTCTCTGGAAGATGTAAAGTTAGCGGATTAGGTGAGTATAAAGCGTCCTTTATCCCATACTACTATCTATTTCAAAATATAAGGCATTGCGATGTTTTACGAATAACTGCACAGTAGGAGATAGAGACCTGCGGATTTCAGATTATGCAAGAGGATACCTGGGGATATGACTCTATGCCAAATTGAGCCAAATCCAACAGGTCTACCATGGTATATCTTGTGAAACAAAATGTCCGAGCCTGATGTTCCATAAATCTACATAGCAAAGTACTGCTCTAAACACATATGGATATACAGTAGATATCGCTCTGACAACCTGGCGTAAGCCCTAAGTCTCCACCTACCGAGGTCTAGCGCTACAGACAATTTGCGGGAACCTACTTGTCAGCTAAATCTGGACTCCGGAAAACCTAAAAACGCAAGAAACATAGGTTTTCGAACACGGTTTCGAAGGCTTTTATTTTAGTTTTTAGTAAGTACTAAAACAAAAACCTTTTAAAAACCTTCTAGCACCTTCATTTCTCAACCAAACTGCTTCAGACCGCTAACTTTACATCTTCCAGAGAATTTTTGGAGGTATCAAACTCAAGGGGGAAAAACCGAAACTCTAGTACTTCGATCTAATTCAAGCTGTTTCATGGGCACTCAAAGTATAAATTCAATTACTTCTTAGCTATTTCTGTAGTGCTTTCATCGTACTTTGACATGCACTAATCTGAGTCCAACTGTTTCACAGAAATCTCAGACTACTTCATTCTACTTCAGGTTTTGAAATAGGTTGAAATAAATTGAAGCAGAAAGAAGTATTTTGAGTTTTTTACGCAACAGATCCGAGCGCACTAAATTCAGAGTAGTGTATGTGAAAGTACGATAAACGCACTACAGAAATAGCTAAGAAGTAATTGAATATATACTTTGAGTACCCACTGAGTAGCTTGAAATAGACTGAACTATTGAAGTCGCACTTTTTCCCCCTTAATCAAAGTACATTTTTTCAAAAATTTCTAAGATGAAAGGGTGAAGAAACAATTCAATGCTTCTCCCTTTTCCTCTCTATCTACATTGTGTCGTATAAGTAAACGGTGCTAAGGATTTGTTATAAATTGTTAATGACATCGTGCGGCTAGAAGCGAGGTATTGGTCGTAAGTTAGCTTCCTCACGAGGAATGTTAGTCGTGTCACCTGTTGGATTTACCCATTCTGGAATAATATTAGTTTTGTACGACACAGTGCATGTTTGATTAGATTCTACCATGGCATTTTAGAACGATGAATGATTATTGATTGTATTTTAAAATAAGACGATTTTGCTGCTATGCAAGCTATTTGAAAATCTACATTTGCTTTCTCGCCTCTTAACTTATCTCTGTTTAAGGATACCCGTTCCCTCCAAAATTCTCGTTAGAAATCAAATACCAAAGATATCGAAGTTTAGACCATTAAGTTTGAGGAAGTTGAGATAGAAAACGAGTTCAGATGGTGAAGAAAATCAAGAATAACTAAGAAACGAATCTGAAATCCCCGTAAAAGACGATCTTTCGTTTTGTACCATCAGCAGCCTGCAGTTTAAATAACAATTTTTTCAGTTTTTTTCGAAAGACACCTCCATACATGTTTTGCAAAAGTTGTTGAATAAAAAGTTTTTCCTGAAGTACCTAAAAACAATTAAATTAAAAAATTTAATTTTTTCGAAAATATTCTTCATTTTAAAATTTAAATATCTCGGCTAGCATAAAACATAAATTTAATTTTTTTTGCACCATTTGATGGCCAAATTTAATTCTCTTCAACCAATATAAGATTAGTTTTTTCAACCAATGCTTCCTCAGTTTGTTATAGCGATAACACCAATGTCCATTTGGCTTTAAAAAATTAATTACTGATGTAATTAGAAGGCCAGTTCACTAGTTCACTTTTATTATCTGAGCCTGTCGTGTACGACAATCATCAGCCTTTGTCTGGTTCCCCAAAGTTTCATGGACTTTGGCCATTATTTCATATGTTTCGAAAAGTAGTTCATTATGCTGTCCGTCTTGCAGAAATTCGCCCTGAATGGCTAATGAGTGTTCCAAATTCAGAACAGCCGGATCGAATTGCTTCAAACGATATTGAATATTCCCCATGCTTTTGTATAGCATGCTCAAATTTTCGCTGTAATCCTCGGATTTGGTCTCTTTGTTGAGCTGATCAATGGCCAGTTCGTAATGGCGTAGTGCCTTAGTCAGATTGCCCAATTTTTCGAAAGTACGTGCTAAATCATGATAGCTAGATGCCAGTGGAGCTTTCTGACACCGACGAATTCCGAACGCTTTAGTATACAGTTCGAGAGCTGGTTGATATTGCGAGTTGAGATAGTGGCACGATGCGACTTGTTCGAATGCCTCTGCAAGATCGAGGTCGGACGACGACAATAGTTTTTGCTGAATGGCTAACATCGGACGAAAATAAGTCAGAGCGGTATCATAATTCTCGTGTTCTTCGTATATGACTGCAAGTACTTCATAAATCTGAGCCAAATCAGAATCATTTGCATTCAAATTTTGCAACTGAAGTTCGAGCGCTAGACGATAATATTCGATGGCTTTTTCCCATTGCCCAATGTCATCATAACTCGACGCAATACTTTCGTACGTTTTAGCGAGTAGAACAGGATTTGGAGCTCGGGGCTGTTGAAAGATTTCGATCGCTTTGTTATAATAGTTAATCGCATCTTCGTGTTGTTCAAGAACATCGTAAAAACCAGCCAGGTTGTTGTATATCGTTCCTAGTTCGGGATGAAGCGAATTGTGAGGCGATTGGTTCAAACTAATGTCAAGAGCTTTATGAAGGAATTCCAAAGCCTTTGTGATCTCACCTTTGGCGCCATGAGCCGAACCAATGTTTGCATAGATGGTTGTAAATATCGGGTCATCACCCTTATCACCTGTTAGTTGTCGTGCTAGTTCGAGACCTGCTGTGTAACATTTAAGTGCATCATCATCGCGCTCAGCTCGAGCATAGCCTTCTCCAAGGTTAACGTATGCCGTAATCAGATCACTTTTATTAACCATCGTCATGCTTTCCATGATGGCTAATCCTTCTTCAAGGTGTTCGATTGCTTTGTCGGCATCATTTTCTGCATCACCCATACCGCTATATGCCTTAGCGATTGCAGCCAAATTCGGAGGTTCCTGCTGAAGAAATATATCCAGTGCGCGTCTGTACGTCGTTAGCGCTTCTTTCCGTTTCTCCATCGAAGTGTATAATGTACCCAATGAAACTAATGTTGCAGCTGTGTGCGGATGATTAGCCGGTAAATGGCGTCTATTGATACTCAAAGACTTCTGGAAGTGTTCTTCCGCACGCTTGTAATCGCCTGACTCCATATAGATGAAACCCAAATTGCTGTAAGTAACGGCAACTGAAGGAAGGTTTGGCGGACGCATTTTCAGTTTTGCATCTAGCACCCCCAGAGTCTTCTCGAGAGCCGCTTTGTAATCGCCCAACTGAAGGTAGGCCATACCCAAACAGCCTTCAGTCATCGTTCGCGACGGATGATCGGGTGGAAGGGAAGCCTTCTGGATAGTCAAGGCTTCTTCGTAGTACTGAGTTGCTTTTGCATGTTGCCCTATTTCATCATATAGTGAACCCAAATTGTGGTACGTAATGGCTACAGACGGATGTTTTAGTTCTTTTAGGCCTAATGCCAGCTCGAGCTTGAGCGCTTCTTCGTAGTTTGAGGCGGCTTTTGAATAATCGCCCTGGTCGTTGTATGCATGAGCTAAATTATTGTATGATGTCGCGAGCTCGGATTGGTTCTGAGGTGACGAGAGAAGATCGATAGACAGGGCAAGTTCAAAGTTTTTGACGGCTTCTGCATTTTGGCCCAGTGTTGATTGTACCGTACCAATATTGCTGTATATTTTGGAAAGCTGATGATCGCCGGGTTCGAGTATCCGCTGTTGAATGTCGAGAATAGCTTGATAGAAATGCATCGCTTGATCAAGTTCCCCCTTCTCTTGATGAATATATCCTAAATTATTAAAACAGGTCACTCGACTCACATCGTCCAGTTCAGGACCATTTTCATTAATCAGATATTGAAAATAACGTTGAGCTCGTACGAAATCTCCTCGCATGACAAGAAATTTTGCAAGTGTAGCGAGGGTCGGCTTTTGACCAATTTCACTCATGTAATGAATGACCAACGTGTCAAATTTTTGTTCCACTTCGGTTGTTAGTGTCAGGCTGACTAACCATGCTGAACCAACATCCTGTACATCATCAATTCGAAAAACGGTTCCGACTGAAAACAGGATTTCTTCCTCCTTGGGAATGGCGCTCAGCTGACCAATATCGGCGAACGGTTGGCGTGTTTCACCCACAGTAATTTCAAATACGACGGATGCAAGGCCGTCCGGTATCTCCTTTCCGGCTCCCGCGAACTCACCTGCTAAGGTACAGTCTGGTGTTGTCGATAGAAAAGTATTCATAGCAACAAATCCTTTGTGCACATTTGCTTCGAGTGTTCGTAACTCGGCTACGTTCAAAAGCTGTCCACGATAGACAACAAGTTTTTTATCTGTGGATGGACGAGGTAAACTCGCTAGTTGATCATGAAGATCAGCAATTATATATCGAAATTGATAGATAATATCAATATCCGCCGTGCGAAAAGCACGATTCAATGATCTATACAGGAAACCATCGAGTGTATACCAGTAAATGGCCTGATCATGTTTATATTTTTTCGCAAAGTCTGTAATACGCTGTTGTCCAACCTCGCTTCCTTCATATCGTTTGCGGCATACGTGTATAAGGTCATTTTTAGCTCGTTCATCACGGTTCGGGACTGTTTGGTAATCAACGCCGTCGAACTTTTGTCGATTCTTTACATCCCTCCCCTGTCCCAATTGTTCGTAACATGGACTCAACGGTACTCATTTTGGCAGCCCCAATTATACGTAATAGTGGCGTTTTCGAATGACTTTTTACCATCCATTGTCAGAATGATTCGCATGAGCAGCTGAAACCACATAAACGAAGCACTTTGATCGGATAGATTTTGAATTGTTTGTTGTTTCATATCCATTTGAAAGATACGGATGGGCGTCAAATGCGCTGAATAGACGACCAAGTCCAACATTACACGAGAGAGAAATGCCATTTTGTTAACAAAGACACCCTTGACTTTCTTAAACTGCTTAGCCCATTCCATGTGCAAGGCTTCGTTTTCACAGAACACGTAAACTGAAATAACAGCATCCAGCTCATGTACTTGTTGCAACAAGTCAAAGCCCGACGATCCCGATACAATAAGAAAAACACGATCATATACCGATGGTAATGTTGTTAAATGTTTGCTGCATTCGGCGACAGTCGAAAAGGTTTTCAGATATGTAATCAAACGACGAAGTTCGAGCTCAGTATCGATGCAGTCGTCACTTAGGTTAACGCTTGTATCAAGCCAAACAACGGAGAGATCTTCGATATCGCGTAAGATTGTGTCATCCGGTAGAATATTGATTTTTGTCGGATGCACAGTTGAACGCTTACCACGCAGTTTTGACAGAATTTTTCCCATTCTTTACTAAAATACTGACCACACATCACAGTTTTCACGAACATAGGAAAAGAGAGTATAGAAAACTTCAGATTTCGCGATGGATCACTAAAAAGTACAGAAACTGGCGTACCAGTCAAAAAAGTTTCTTTCTGTCAGTGACTATTCGATGATAAAGTTCCCGTTTACGGAAGCACAAGACCATACTATGCTCCTAAGTTGAATTCAAGGATATGTGACAAGGACTGCAGCTAGAGACGAGGCCGAAAATCAACAGTATAACTAGGCATGCACCGGGACGGGAACATCCCGAAATTCCCGTCTCGGGAATCCCGAAAGTCAGGAATCGGGAATCCCAATATTCCGGTTGATGATGAAATTTTGTTCTTGAGTTTCAGTTCTGCAAGTGTTAAAAAACTATCAGGCGCAAAACCTATAATTAATAATAACTTTGCGACTAACCTAGGCATGCATCGGGTCGTGAAGCTCATTACACCTTTCTCATTATTCTTACCACACAGCGGCAAGCGACAGAAAATTTAAAATTTAGAATTCCGAGTTCGGGATTCTTGAGTTTCGGGATTTCAGCTCTGGTGCATGCCTAGGCATAACTCGATCGGCAACATTTTGTGCGCTTCGCAAAACAATAAACAAAAACGTGCACCAGAATAATTGTTGCTTTATTCTAACTGTCGCATATCATATGGAGTCGAAGTAAGAAATCAATTTTGCTAGCGCCTTACAGATTTGATCGAAACTGTACATATCGTGTTTGTATATCTATTACTTTATTAATTTGCTTGAATGAGTTATCGTCATTCCTTTATTGTTGAAATAATATAGTGTGATGTCGCACAAAATATTTATCGTTGCTATTAACGCTGTTGACATTGAGTGAAGAGAAATAAAGACCTGTAATATACTGGATAAATTGCTTAATACATAGCATGCTCTGTGCTACTTACCACTTCTTCCAGTATGTAAGTCTGATTTTATCGATAGTCTGTTAGGTGTATCATGTTACTAGGTAACGCTCAGCAAATATGGCTGCTAGTTTAATGCTAGTGATCTAGCAATAAATTCTCTCTTTGTGCTGAAAATCAATTGTGAACATAGATAAACGAGATACAAGTAAAAACTAATGCTTCTTGTGCTCGTTCAATCATCTATTGTTTCTGCGAGATTAAAAATGAGGTCGGCATTTGTAGAAAAAGAAATATTCTCAAATAATGGTTTGAAAATGAAAAAAAAGCATGTTGAACGATGCTTTTCGCAAACTGTGAATATAAGGCTTTGTCATCGTTCAATGCCTCTTCCCTTTTCTCTCTATCTTGTTCCTTCACTCATAGAATTGCAAGCAATTTTTTTATTTTCTCATAAATATTGGTCAAAATCTTGTAAAAAGATTGAAGTCTCAATATCAAAGGGTACACTGTACGCTATGTTTCTTTTCACAGAGTGTAAACAGTATATTTTCACTTTTCCTAGGGCACTGTACACTTTCCTAAAGCGTTACATTTGGACATCGAAAACACTATCGAAATAAGTAGTATCGCGATTATTTTCTGAAGACTGTTCAACGAAATTTTGTACCAAAGTCACTTTGCCTCTTGAAGCAATGTGTTGTTATGTGTCGATCAAATCTGTAAGGCGCTAGCAAAATTGATTTTTTACTTCGAAAACTCCATATGATTCGACTCCATATGATGTTGAGGAGCCATGAGTAACGTTACAATCGAGTAAAGAAAGAAAGAAAGACAGACGCAGAACATTTTCTACTTGCCATACAACTCTCAGATGAGAAGGTATCGTTTAGCAGTGGCTTCTCCTTTTCAGAAAATTATCTTTTAAGATATCATCTAGCAAATAAATACATTTTACTGAGAATAGAAGTCTAACTGTAAGTGTATTTTTATTACTCTTTCGTTTATTGTGACCAAGAAAGAATTCAAACATAGCTATTTTTAAGACAAGCATGACTCTTATCTTAAAGGGTAAATAGAAATATACATACGATCACATAAAAAAAATACATCCGAAGAAAGAAAAATAAGATCAAGGAAAAGAAAAATGAAAAGAAAGACGCAGTATGATTGTGCGTACGATTGAATACAAAATGAAATATCGTCAAAATCTACAGTAGCCAGAAAATGTCGGAACAGCGACGAGAAATTTGTATCGTACAATTTAAGGGCGATTGTACCACAAAAGTAAAAGCGAAGCATGTCCAGTAATACTATTCCAAGTCCGGCAGCCGCGCATCTCACGACAAGACTCGATGATTTCTCATCCTGCAATAGTGCCATAAAAGGAAGAGTGCGAAAACTTAAATTTTTAAATTTAAATGATGCTAACCTCGATATTTTTTCCAAAAATTCTGAAAAGTATACCGTCGGAGAGAGAATCAAATCCTCTACCAAACGGCTCATTTGTTTTGACGTTTGGAAGCCAAATTTTGTTTTTATTTTTTAAGAAAAGTTTTGGTGCTTATTTTATGAACAATGTTATGCCCGTTTAAGCTAACTTTGAAAATATATTTTGAGCGGAGTAGCATGAAGGGTACCTCAAACTACCTATCTAGGTGCAAATCAGAGCCTGCTAAGTAGTCCTGTGATAGAAACGATGAAGCTCGAAAAAGTGGCCGCTTTCAGAAACAGCTCTGCAGTTTCAACAACAACGAGCTTTTTTCGGAATTCCTTTTCTTCGCTGAGATAATCGACTTTTACTGAGACCTATGCTAAAACGGCAAAGTCATTTCTCTTTGTTTTTGCGAGTTTTGCTCCAAACTAGGTTGAATTACCGCCGAATACGTTGAAAATCACGGATAATCCAATAGAGACACTAAAGAGATCGCCAGGGAGCGTTTGGAGGGTCTGTACAGGGTATTAGCGAGAAACTTCACTGAAGACATTCCACTGAAAGTCTGCATTTTTTCCATCTTACAAAGCGTATATCAGAGCGTATTTTGACTTTAGTTCAAGTACTGTACGCTTTGAAATAAAGGCGTACGGGTAATATTAGAAACACTGATGAAGCATCAGCCTTGCAAGCTATTACGGGCTTCTATTTTAGCTGGTTTTCCGAAAGTCGTTATACAAATAGTGCAATCATGAGACGAAAACTAGTCATAAAAAGAAAGTTGATGATTCACCGATGACTCATCACTTTTCGTATTTTTTTACGTTTTTTGGATATGGATATTTTCTAAAAATAACATACGGTTGCTGTGTGTATAATGAAAAGTGGTCGATCAAACCGTAGTTCCGTCAGTGAAAATAGTTACCACATTTTTATTGCGCTTTTTCGTTTTTTTAGCTCCTGTTACTACCGAACCTAAATAATCTCCTTTTTGCAAAATTACGCAAAAGAAACGGTGAATCATGTCGATGACTCATCATTGCTCTGGAAACATACCGATTGCATTCTTGCGTTGTAACGCAAAAACGTGATCTTGATTGATCTTGTGATCTTGAAAAACGTGACCTTGAAACGTGTGATCTTGATTTTCCGCGGTTCGGGCGTTGTATCGGATTTCCTACGGGTCCAAGGACTGGCACCCGGTGACTCTTAATAGCCTTAGAGGCCGATGGACTATGGGTAATCGATGATGCTGAGTTTCGTGGAAATATTTATTTTTAGAAAAGGTTTTAAAAATCTGCCGAAAAGCCAGTTTATACGAAAATTAGGGTTTTCACCAAATATTAAAAAATTCACTATTCACTCAAAAAACATCAGAACAAGCTCAAAACTGCAGGATATGATTAATGTTGTCCGCTAAATATGACTATAAGATCGAAAACATCTAAAAGCGTAGTTTTGTTAATAGGTTTTCCAGAAATGCTTAGCCGTTGATTCAGACGTGTATATATCATGTTTTGTTCAGGAACAACTGCATTTTAGTATTGATTTGTGTCTGAGTTATTATTTCAGATTTTTATTTATATGATTTTTGGTGAGAAAGTTCAACGGGAACGGCGACGGTTTTGCCATTGACGTTCTAAACTCTAAACGGCATCTCATAAGTTAACGTTCTAAGCTGTCAACGTAAAACATTATGTCGTTATACTGGAGTTCAGTATAAGTAGAGCGTCACACACCACTAATCATCTGAAATAGCTTCTCAGGAGGAAACATAATTGAAGAAAAGAGGCTAAAACGGAAAAAACTGGTAAATTTCTTAACCATTTTTGGTAGACAAGAGATTTTCACCCAAATTAGTCTTTTCCTGAAAAAAATGAAGATATCACTAATTTAAGAATCTTAGTTCAATGGATTTCAATGGATGGACTGATAAAAATATCGTTGGCAATTCAGAATGTCAACTGTTGAGATGCAGTTGAGAGTTTAGACTGATGAATTACCGTTGACAGTTGAGAACGAAAACCGCTACGGGTACACCCTATAAATAACACGTTCTGTTTCACAAGAAATTGAAAATTTTGTTCGGGAGACGGACATGCAAAGTAACCTTATTTTCGAAAAATCAAATATCCGTCAAGGGCTCAGTAAATTAAAAAAGAGAAATAAATCATACTCATCAAAAAAGAATCTAAAAGATTACCGGACTCGAAATGGAATCCAAAATACATTTTCCTTCCACTTGTGGTGCTTATGACATCGAATCCGGATATTTATATGAGAGAGAAATGTGAATTTATCAATCTACAACGTTGAGAGAATTGAACTGAATTTTTATTTTTGCAAGCATAGTTGTTGCAAAGAAAGGCTAGCTTATGCTAATGCAACACCAAGAGAATATCCTACCTTTTACAGAACTTTTCTAGCTCCTATAGTTCTGTAGATTTCGAGGTGCACCTTTTGCCTAAAAAGGAGACGAAAGAAAATAAAAAATAAAAATCCCAGCAAAAACACGTCATGTCTGTCGACACAATAACTAGTAGTAGAATTGTTTTCAATATTTTAAAACAAATGTATTTATATTTCATTTCTAGCTTATATCATGAATTGCATACGAAGAACACTTGTTTCTGGGTCGTCAGGTGTTTGTAAAACTAGTATGT